AACTACCCGACCACGTCCACTTGTATTTGTATTTATCCATCTGATGAGTTAAGCCTCTTTCAACTGATTTTTATAGTTCTTTCTTATATTGTACTGTTACACCACTGTCCCAGGTTAGGGGAGGGTTGGGATCCCGATAACATGTTTAAGCCCGTCACATTCTGTATGTACATGTATGTGCCTGTCCCAAGTCAGGAGCCTGTAAAAGTGTAAATCAGTGGTTGTCGTTTGTTTATGTGTTGCATATTTGTTATATTCGTTCATTTTTTGTACATAAATTAGGCCGTTAGTTTTCTTGTTTGAATTGTTTTACATTGTCATTTCGGGGCCTTTTATAGCTGACTGTGCGGTATGGGCTTTGCTCATTGTTGAAGGCCGTACTGTGACCTATAGCTGTTAATTTCTGTGTCATTTGGTCTCTTGTGGAGAGTTGTCTCATTGGCAATCATACCACATCTTCTTTTTTATATTTACATCAACAGATATAAAAAAATTCACCAAAGTCAAGGTGAGACAACAAAACTCTGAATTTTTTTACAGGGTACGAGTTTTTCTCATTGTTGGAGATTGTACGGTGACAGTAACACCTGTAACTGCTTAAACCCATTTCTTATGCACTTTAGTTCGATAAACTCACTGAATATCATACCACATCTCCTTATTTTTATATGCATTACAATTTACATGTGCATGTAATTGTAAATATATATATATCAGAACAAAATTCATTGCGTCACTTTAATTTATGCATCCTTTGGCACAATACAAGTTCTAAAATGACACAACATAAAACAACTAAATGTTATTTCAGATGAAAGTTTTGTTTCAGTTCCATTCATAGGATTTATTCGAATTTTGTATGTTTTGCCAAGTCCAATAATTCGCTCTATGTGACATAGAGACATAGTTGACTAAACCACCAGGTGTCGAACATTCAAGAATTTTCAGTGTTTCTGTTTTTATTTGATGAAAAGGTTGCCTGAGCTCTAGGAGCTTTAGGTTTTATCACGGGATATTCTGTGCTGTCAATAATAATCCAAGTCGTAGGAAACTTTAATTTGAAATTGGATGGTGAAAAATACCTGACTAAACCACTAGATGGCCAAGTGTTAGCCTCACACCACTGTTTAGACATAAAAACAATCCATGTATACACAATATTCTTAACACTAGATTCAATCTAGAATCTAGACAGTTCAAAGTTGGTTGTATAATGCCTCAATTTCATCAAAGTCATAAAAAAACTGATTTTCAACTGACACCCTATCAATTTGAAAATATATGTATCTCAAACAATGTGCTGCTGGACCAAGTGTGGTCAAAACAAATAAAAATTTAGTATACAACTCTAAACCGGTATAAAAATGCATGGCTGTGTCACGTGTCTTCATTTCAAAATTCTCTGCTGAAAACATAGGCATTGATGGTGTTTGCGTAATTCCATCTGTGAAGCTCAACATTAGCTCGGCAGTTGGTGGTGGACAGTCATAAATCCTTTCTGCAGTATGAATGACTTCTTCAGGAAAACCAACTTTACAATCAAAACTTTCCTCTAGATTTCTACTACAATATTCATCAAGTTTAGTTCTTTTGTTTTCACAGGAAACTGCCCTGATTTTTCTATTTGCGGACGATTCAGTCTCTTTTTTGGTCCAGGAAAATAGGCTGGGAATGGCAGTAGACTTAAGTCTCTGTATGGTGGGTTTGCGCCCTGAAAAAGGTTATAAAACATTAGTTTTTTTGATAATTAAATGAACTTCCATTAGCAATGTATACTTTGTACTACCTGGCGAAATATTAACTAGATTTATTCATTACAATCTGGATAAAACTATGTTTGCCTGATTCAATGTATGTTATGTAAATCCAAAGGACAAACAATGAGAGACTTATGCAACAAACGTACATTGTTTGTACCTAAATAACTATAATATAGATGAGAGCATGTCATTGTTTTGTTCCTGTTAACATTGTCATTGATATTTTTCAAGAAAGTCTATGAGGCATAGCTTATGCATTCCTGTCATTACTACATTAGCATAATTACTGCTAAATTAATTCTCAGTATGATAAACCTCTTGTAAGAAATCATTATAATTGTAGCAATCACTAAAAATCTCAAACAGATCACATTGAATCGTAATCCAAAAAATTATGACGTCTTGAATTACCCACCCCCTTTTATTCTAAAACGATAATTGCGGTTGTAAACAGACTTTGGTTTATTCGCATGGCGATTACATATATAACTATATATTTCACAAAGAAAATAGAGTTTTACCATGAATAGTTTCCTGCACGTAGTCTTTTTCAGTAAAACGTGCCTTGCAAACAACAGCTGATTGAGATGGACTCCACGATATCATCGTGTTCTCGTCCAATCTGTGTGTGGGCAATGGCGTTGATCCAACTTTTCCTTCTTTTTAAGTCATTTGGAAATGCATGTCCTCCTCTTAAATGACATCCAGGTACACAACAACAAGTACTTGGCATCGTTAATTAAAAATATAACTGAAATAGTTGCACTGTGCAGAAACCGGAAGTTGAGGAACAGGATCCGCTACCACGGCGCCACCTATTCAGGAACGATAATTTGCTACTTTATATAACTGCGAAATAACAATAACGTTAGACGGGTTCACGTGCATAAACAGAAATGCGCTTTAAATTGTATAATATAATTCATGTTCAGTCGACCTTTAATTATTATATCAACGACTGAAATGATTTATAAACATCTAGATTGCAGATAACACTCGAAATTAACCCGAGCTCTTTCCCACGGAATTCAAATAATTCTAGTTTGTCAATCGGTTGACTGCTTATAATGCAAAATACTAATATATCAAAAGTTTTTAAAACTAACAAAACACAATGATCGTTTCTCTATTTCCCAATGTAAATGAAATGAAACAAAAAACATTTTATATCGCAATAAGAAGAGGAGAGAATTCAACATTTCCGGATCTACTTGGAGCCTAATGACCCCCCACGTAGATAAGTTGGATATCGCGGAAGGAAGGATTAACCCGGCAACCAGAAAGGCATAAAGCACTGCCTTTAAAAATGTTAAACTCAGTGCTTGACACCCTTAAACGTAAGCATTTTTTGGTGCTGTAATGTTGGCTTTCACTACTGGTCTACTCATGTTATTAGAGCTTTTACATGCTAGGGTGTTTTTGACATTTTTGACGTTTTCTAAATAAGACTTTAGTACAAATATTTTGTAGGAAATGCATACATCTTCTGAAGTTGAGTTTTCAAAGTAATGTCTAGTTCATATCATTGTCCTTGGTGAACCAAAATGTCTATACAACTTTAAAAGACATAAATATTGACACAATTAAATCTCAGTTACTGCTTAATACCTAATTCTCCACAGGAAGTAAACAAAGTGATTTATAATATGTTTATCTATCTGATTACTTCCCTTTTATCTGATTTAAATCATTCAACAGATGTTGTATTGAGTAATGTTTACATAATTAAGATAATTATGAGTTACCTATTTTCTTTATCAAATCCAATTGTGAAAACCATCAAAACTTATCTTTTTACTTTTGCTTATGCCATTTTCTGATTGATTTTTAACTGTTGATGAATTTTTCAAAAATCTTTTGGGATTTCAAAGTAAATATGAAAATCTATTCAGAGACGACATTCTTTATAATGATAATATTAATGGTTTATGACAAACCAGTTAATATTGCTTCTGTAGAAATTTCTGTTTTAACATTTTTGCATTTAATTGCATAATATACACTGTCAGATCTAGGATTTAAAGGGGCATTAGCTGTCAAATTCATGTTCACCGATTTCACTCAAATTCTAATATTTGATTTATAACATACTAAAACATATATCGAAATTACAATAAGTCTTAGATAAACAATTAACAACGCATGAACTCGATTAATATATATCAGCATTTTGTGTTTCTTAGTCTTGATGCCATCTAATTAACCATCGAGATGACCTCCAAGACTGCCGACGGTTATATAACCCAATATAAACATAAACATAACTATAAATAGATTGTGACCTAGTGCAATTGGACTTTTCTAGGTCTGCTTGATTTCATGTTATAGGTTAAAAAAATAAGTTAATCATCGTTTTTACCTGTATAAGAATGATTTTTTTGAGGATTGAATCAGTCAACGAGATGGTTCACCTTTGTTTCACTTTCAATGTTGACATTCTTTTCTTTTTAATGGCTGAACAAGACTTATACATTTGTGACCAATCTTTAGCTAATGGGTTAAATTGAAGGTCACATGAATACGGATTCAATGAGGTCGAATTATTCACTTGCAAGTGAATAATTCATCAGCAATGTTTCTTAGCTTATTTTGACAAAATTGAACTAAACTGACTGGTAAAAGCTAATTATTATTTCACTATTTCACTTTGTACTTGCTTATATAATTGATTGATTTATTGATAGCCATTTGATTAACATGGACTTTTGCTGGTATTTGTAATGCTCATCACCTGATGAAGGTCCATTGTATCAAATTTTCCTTGATAAAAGCAAGATATTATCAAAACATGACCTTTATAATTGGAAAATGTTTTGATAGGACATCATAGAGAGATGACTTAAATGTCTACAAGCTATTCCAGGAAGGAATAATGTGCAGGGTTGGAACCCCAAAATACTGTTCACATACAGAGGGCTGCTGATTCATGATTCATATTCTAAGATACCCTTAACAATCCAAACTCTTCATTGGTGGTACCATATATTCTATTCCCATTCTGACTTGTTTCCCTGCTTTGAATTATCCTACAGCAATGTATGACCTGTTAGCAAGTAAGATTGACCTTTTGATATTGGTCAGTACTTTGCTGTAGTGTCAAGGCTAATTGGTGTATGACATTATTTACCTATAAAAATAAGATGTGGCATGAAAGCGAAACAACTCTCCACAAGAGACCAAATGACATAGAAGTTAACAACTATAGATCACCGTAATGCCTTTTACAGAACATTTACTTACCTCTTGTCTGGTTGGTATAAATGCAGCCAGACTTTCTATAGCTCCTGTAGCCACTTCAAAGTAAGGTGACCTGTTCAGACTAGGGTCAGAGGTCAAGGTCTCTAACTGTCTTGCTAGATCATCAGCATTTCCATCAAACTACCAAAAGAATTATATCTAATAGATTACTTTTAACGGAAAAAGAATACCACTAAATGTCTTTTGTTTCTGTTTCATGTTGTTGGGTTGCTTTCTCATTGACTCCCCTATTATGCATACATATGTTAATATTCTTTTTTGTAAGAAGTTATCAGTGCTAGTAATTGTGATAGAAAGTTTAACAACTGAACAATGAGGACAATTTAATTAACAACCAAAATGTTTTTCATTTAGATCAATTCAAGATATAAATGAAAATTTAATACTAGATATTATTTCTTGTGATCTGTACAATGTAAGAAGTGTTTAAATTTAAATGTTTGAATGAAAACTAGTTTTTATGATAATGCTAAAGTTTCATCATACATTTTTTAATGTTTTATCTTTTTTTCTGTGCACAAACATCCTATAAGTTCTTATAATTATGATTAACTAATAATAGAATTACAGTTTGATTACTTGCTTACAGAGAGGAAACATTTTATTTCAGAAAACAATGTTTTCATGTGACCATGTTACATCCAAGAGAACAATACCTTTTGCCCAGAGGATTTTAATCCACGTAACTTTTCATCTGTATATTCACAGGCCTCAACATTTAAATTTTCCCACAGTCCAGCTGGAGAACAGAAATGAGATGCCAGTTTATCAACACCTATTTTACATGGCAGTTCACTGTGGACACCAGCTACAGTCTTAGGCCATTTGTATACACCTTTATTTGTTGTTGTTGTGAAGGATGGACAAAATCTGGCTGTTGTTGGCATGACAACAATACTGATGTTATTAGTGACATTGCCCTGTGGTGACGTGACTCTACACTGCCAGATACCAGAATCATTCTTGGACAACTCCTCCAATACGAGATGATGTATCATGATGGACTGATCACGTGATTCGGATGTGTGGACAATGATTCCTCTTTTTCTATTTGTTTCCACAATCTCCTCTTTTCGAATCCACACCATTTTTGTATTTCTGTCTATGACTGAGGCTCTACATTCAAATGGAAGCTTGTCCCCTTCAAATACGACCTGACTAGTACTGGGGGAAATCTCAAACAGTGGAAGTTCTAAAGGGCGATCTGTAAAGGATAATTCATAATATGTTAAACATACCCATACAGCAATCACTTGAATTTATGAGAACATTAAAAAAAAAAAACAACAACATTTAAAAAAAAACAAACTTCAAACTTCAAAATAGTTATGCAAATCAGAATCTTAAGAACACATTTGCTGCTTTATTATAGAGCATTTTATGCTGTGATTTCTGTCCAAATTACATGCAGTCATATTTGATGGTGCTTACAAGTCACTCTGAATAGATAGCAACAATAAAACCAACAATTTCAATCAGAGTACAAATGAGTTCTAACATAATTTCACTGAAAGAAACATTCAGACTAAAAAATAAAGATAAAAATCGATGTACATTCTCTTTATTGAAATATTATAACTCACATCTAATAGCCATTTTCAGAGTATTAAATTATTGTGAATTTTACCATGTACATTAAAATCATCAATTTATCAGTTTCATATTCTGTATTTTAAGTCAGTATTACATATCTTAACAAAGAATGGCTTTTTTATATTAGCAAGTTACATGAAAAACAAACATTTCTATCAATAAAGATAACTGTTATGAAAAACTTTATATTACTGAAATGTACTTTATGCACTAAAATACAGATTTGTAAGTTACTACATAAATATTCAGCAATAGGAAATTGACAATGGTGTAAAGGAAATCAATCTGCAGACAATTTTTCCATTAACGACAAAGAACATTCTCCTCATTGATGAGGGAAGATAATGTTTTTCAATAAATTCAATGCTTTTTTATATTTCACACTTCCAGTCATTATTCATAGAAGTACTGCTATTTTTCACAAGGAAATTATTTTCAAAACCATATAATATATAAATATCAATGAATTCAGGATTTCAAGTTGGTGGAATAACTTAAAAAAGGAAAATTTCAATTTTGTCCTGTATATTATATGCACTACATAAGATAGTGTATCTAAATGATAAAAGGGGCATATTCCTCCTAGAATTAACTTACCCTTTAAATAGTCTAAATACAAGAATTTATTGACCAAGAAGGCAAGTTGAACTTGGATTTAGACTCCAATTTTGGAATATTTTCTTCTAACCTTAACACTTTTGGTGCATTATAGAGAACAGCTTACATTTGCACATACATAGATATAAGAAGATGTGGTATGAGTGCCAATGAGACAAATCTCCATCCAAGTCACAATGTGTAAAAGTAAACCATTATATGTACATGTTCACTATATGATTTTGGAGGGCAACATCTATTTGTACATTCACTTGATGTTGACCTCTCTTAATCTGTCAACTCTTTATTCAATTATTATGAATAAAGGAGATGTGGGGGTATGCAACAATGAGTCAGCAAGCAACTAAGATATCTACTGGGGTCAAGATATAGTCTTCAACAGAATACAGGTGTCTTTACAAAATGTAATGCTCTAAATCTTTGGTACATGTTGAGTTTATACACCCAGTCACACATGCTGCTATCCTATCACATTTACAAATCTAATCAGTTAGGCCATATGTAAGAAAATAAATTTCAAGAAAAAGATTGTTTTGTAATCCTAACATTTCGATAACTGAGCAAACTCTTTATTTCCAAAGCAACCAGGGTATTTTCATACTGCCTGTTACTATAGATACAGTAAGAATCAACTATCAAGATTTCCTTAAACTATGTTTTTTTATTTAAATTTACCAATAAAACTTTAAAAAAAAAAAAAATACATTCATAAATTCAGCCTAATAAATCTGTAATTATGACAAATATTCTCAATCCTCCTTGATTTTGGTTATTAAATCTCGCCAACCTCCAAATTTGTAGGGAGAACAAGGAAAAGTAAATGATATATCATGAAAAACTCCTTGGAAATGGGAATTTTTATGGATCCTTGCCAAACCAGATGGAGGCTTGATGTCCACTCCTCAGTCTTTTGTGAACACACCTGCTTCAGTTCATATTTGCAAAGGTCAATTGATTAAATGCTTTTTTCTTAGACTAAACAGAGAATTTGTTTAATACTTTGAACAGTTGTTTTGCCTTGTTGTAGGACTGTTATAAGAATTTTCTGGCTCATTAAGTTTATATCTCCGATCACAGCTTGAATAATCATATGTTCTATCTTTAATCTTGTTCCTCATATAAACTATTTCAAATTTAATCAAAAACCTCATTTCTTTTCAATCATATTTATTACTAATCAATATGGAACCATACATCTATGATGGAACTCACAAGAATTTTTTAATCCTCCCTTTCCACCTCTAAAAAAACAGACGTTGACTGATATAATACCTTTTTGTTCAATGTATCTCCCTTGGATAATGAAGACCACTGTGTTAACACATTCATGTACCAGAAATCATCATACAATTTAATAATGACAGGTACACCATCCTGAACTTATTGTTTTATATTACACTCCTCCCTCTTGTTTGGTCAAATTATACAAGTAGGAAAGTTAAAATTTTCTAATGAGAGTCTTAACCAAATAGAAGCATATACACTATTATATGTTTTGAGAAGTACAGTCTAGCGACTCATATTGCAAAACATCTTAAGAGAAAAAATACTCTCAATTCATGAACATTTCAGTATAAGTTACGACCACTTTTGTTGTAAGATTTTTTGTGAAAAGAGCCCCAGATGGTTAAAGATAGATTTGACCACTGCATCTATAATATCTTTGACTTTAAATTCAAAACTAAGGGTTTGTTTATACTTAAAGTAACTGAAAATTCAATAATTGAGAGTGAACAGATGTTGTAGATGTCATATTTACTTTTATTCTCCTTAATGATTTTTCTAAAATTGATTAATGGTATTACATTGTTGTCTTTTTCAGGGGATCGACAAATGTGATTTTTTCAATAACATCTTCAGGAGTTTTATTTACCTGCTGTCATTATTGCTAGTAAGAAAATATCAAATAAATTTGATGATATAATTCAAACTCCTCAAATCAAGATCTAAGAATTATCCAACTATAATCAATTAAAAACAAACATTGTGTTGAGAAGGATAATCACAGATTTAAAGAAAAATAATTCTTGAAAACACTGTTATTTTTCTTATTTCAAAAATAAAAGATGCAATTGTGAAGAGCATTCTCTTCCCCCTCCCACACACTTTGGGGATTTTCTTTAATATCTGAAATCCATCACCAATGTGCCATAATTTATAAAACAATAAACATAATCTCTTACTACAATGTAGATCCTCTGCCTTTAATTTCCTCAGTGGTCTAGATTTCAGTTCACTTGGGACAGCACATGTTGTTGAGGACTGAATTTTTACATTTTTCTCATGAGACCATTTAACAATCCACTGAAGGTGACAGTCACATCTCAAGTAATCTGATATAAATTCTCTGAAAAATATAAATACATCAGTTTAACTATTTACTATTGTATCTAATATTGTGATAAACTGTCATTGTTCAATGATTCTATAAAGTTTGAAGGCCTAAAACAAAGAATTCAGCTCAAACCAAAGCTCTTTGTTGGTCCTCATTGTGACCTTCAAACTTTGAGATGAAGAACATCAATAATTAATAGCACTGTTTCCCTTATGGTTTTGTCAAGTTTATGTAGGGATTTTGTGAATTGAATTGATACACCATTTCTCTTGTTAATTATGTACAGTAAGTCAAAACTAACAATATCTTATATCTGAAACACTACTGTGACTGTCGGAAGGATGTTATTTGATGGCTTACAATACTTTGTGATTTTAAATTAAAAAAGCCAAAATAATGGCCTAATTATCAAAAACCCATAATTTTAAAATGTTTGTCTGTTATAGCTTGTCTAATGACAATGCTTCCCCCACCATTTTCTCTTCTCCTTCAATATATTTCTGCTATAAGTGTTTTGTACTGAATAATAGACACAGTAATAAATCAACAATAACACCTTCCTGGAATCTGTATGTTGTTACATACAAATCTTGTTATATGATCAAAAATGTGCCATATAAAAATAACTTTATACAGCAGAATGCCAGATTGCAGAAGATGATTGAAACTGCATTTGTTTTTTTTTTTGAATGACCAGATTCCAAAACTAATATTTCTCAAAATAAGCCAAACTTAGGAAAATTACAGTGCCTCCCAAGAGATATGAGCTCAAACAGATAATACAGTTCACAAACATAAGTACACTCCATTAATAATGCTGCTCATAACTGATTGTCATCATCTGGAAAATCAACAAAACATTCACCGTGATGACCTCAGCAACTAAAATTGGATGCAAAGAAATAAATAAGTTAACAGTATTTAATAAATTTCTGAAAAGCACAAGATAGCAACATGATGACATATTGGACTTGTTGTCTTCAAAAAACCATGAAAATTTGAAAATCCTCCCCATTATATCCCCCTAGTTCTTTAAAGACTATTTAATGGTCTATCTATAGATATGTTTTATCATAAATGTTCAGGTATTTTAGTATAACATAAACATCTGATTGTAAAAGTTATTACTTTCTCCACTAGTGAAAAAGCTTGTAAAAGTTATTACTTTCTCCACTTGTGAAAAAAATATTCCATAAAAATTATTATATTAAATCTTCATCATATCGATGGAATGTTTCGTCCATGAATATCAGTATTGCTCACCCATGGGTAAATTATGGTATTGTAGGTATTCTCTATATACTTCCATCACAGAATACATTGTGATTAAGTCTTGGATTTATCATTTACATTCCATTACTCACTACATTAGGACTCCTTTTAAGATGTTAAATTTTGATTTCCAAAATTTGTTCAAAAGTCCTCAAACAATCCAAAATAATGTGTGATTCAGGTTGTGGTGTTCATTTGATTTATTTGTACATTGTATAGAAGTCAGAGTCTAACAAAATTACAGATCACAACTTTTACCTTAAAAACTCAAGAATAAATGTATAGGTATCAGTTCAATAAATAGTGTTTGATGACAAGCTAAAAATGTACAAATTCTGGAATAAATCCAGCAGGCATATTCTCTGACAAATCTCTGCTTGACTGCCAATCTCTTTCTGCTACTTTGATGTAACTTTAATCGTTTCTTATTTCAATTTTGACAGATGATAAACAAATTTATGATACAAGTTTCAAAATGACAAACAGTGATCAATCAGGAAAAAAAAACATAGCTTCCTATTTGTAATAACTCCAGATGTTTTCATTCTGTAGCAATTAATCATCTTACATATCAGAGCAAATTGAAAACCAAATAGATAAAGATTTTCACAAATTTCTACAGACATATTGCATTTCTAATACAAAGCATTTGATTCTTTGAACAGATATCGTCTGTTGTCATTTCTATCATAATTCTAATTATGGGTAAATCTAGATCTCAACTCAGAGGAAAAGTACATTTCTACTGATTTGGTGTCAATTTCCTTCAAGCATCTTTACAGTAATAAGATTTTTTGTGTTGATTAAAAACTTATAATGACTCTGTTATAAAATAATGAAGTCCCTATAAAATACTGCTAGAGGATGTGTTTTATATTTTATTGTCCTTCCCTATGCCTATATCACGCGGCTCAGTCACTCTAAAATTTTCAAATCACACCTTTAAGACTTGAGCAGACATTATCAGGGACGTCACATTGTCTGAGAAGTCATTAGCAACATCAGGAGACGTTATAAAGCTTACTTTCATCAAGCATAAAACAGTCTAAAGGAGGGGAAAAGGACCAGTAACAGAATGATAAACAGATTAACGACACAATGTGAAGCTTTTTTGCTTATTTGCTGCGCTTACCCACCAAATATTTTACAATATCAATGTGTAGAAAAACCTGATAATCTATACATATAGGAATGTGATGGTTGGTTTGGTAGTGTAGTAGTCCAATGTTTCTGATGGTTGATGTGGTAGTGATGTACTGTCCAATGTTTTTTGTGTTTGGTGTGGTAGTGTTGTACTGTCAAATGTTTCTGATGGTTGGTGTGGTAGTGTTGTACTGTCAGTGTTTCTGATGGTTGATGTGGTAGTGTTGTACTGTCCAATGTTTTTTGTGTTTGGTGTGGTAGTGTTGTACTGTCCAATGTTTCTGATGGTTGGTGTGGTAGTGTTGTACTGTCAATGTTTCTGATGGTTGGTGTGGTAGTGTTGTACTGTCCAATGTTTCTGATGGTTGATGTGGTAGTGTTGTACTGTCCAATGTTTTTTGTGTTTGGTGTGGTAGTGTTGTACTGTCCAATGTTTCTGATGGTTGGTGTGGTAGTGTTGTACTGTCCAATGTTTCTGAGGGTTGGTGTGGTAGTGTTGTACTGTCCAATGTTTTTTGTGTTTGGTGTGGTAGTGTTGTACTGTCCAATGTTTCTGATGGTTGATGTGGTAGTGTTGTACTGTCCAAAGTTTCTGATGGTTGGTGTGGTAGTGTTGTACTGTCCAATGTTTCTGATGGTTGGTGTGGTAGTGTTGTACTGTCAATGTTTCTGATGGTTGGTGTGGTAGTGTTGTACTGTCAAATGTTTCTGATGGTTGATGTGGTAGTGTTGTACTGTCCAATGTTTCTGATGGTTGATGTGGTAGTGTTGTACTGTCAATGTTTCTGATGGTTGGTGTGGTAGTGTTGTACTGTCCAATGTTTCTGATGGTTGGTGTGGTAGTGTTGTACTGTCAATGTTTCTGATGGTTGATGTGGTAGTGTTGTACTGTCCAATGTTTCTGATGGTTGATGTGGTAGTGTTGTACTGTCCAAAGTTTCTGATGGTTGGTGTGGTAGTGTTGTACTGTCCAATGTTTCTGATGGTTGGTGTGGTAGTGTTGTACTGTCCTATGTTTCTGATGGTTGGTGTGGTAGTGTTGTACTGTCCAATGTTTCTGATGGTTGATGTGGTAGTGTTGTACTGTCCAATGTTTCTGATGGTTGGTGTGGTAGTGTTGTACTGTCAAATGTTTCTGATGGTTGATGTGGTAGTGTTGTACTGTCAATGTTTCTGATGGTTGATGTGGTAGTGTTGTACTGTCAATGTTTGTGATGGTTGGTGTGGTAGTGTTGTACTGTCCAATGTTTCTGATGGTTGATGTGGTAGTGTTTTACTTTCAATGTTTCTGATGGTTGGTGTGGTAGTGTTGTACTGTCCAATGTTTGTGATGGTTGGTGTGGTAGTGTTGTACTGTCCAAAGTTTGTGATGGTTGGTGTTGTAGTGTTGTACTGTCCAAAGTTTGTGATGGTTGGTGTGGTAGTGTTGTACTGTCCAATGTTTGTGATGGTTGGTGCGGTAGTGTTGTACTGTCCAAAGTTTCTGATGGTTGGTGTGGTAGTGTTGTACTGTCCAATGTTTCTGATGGTTGGTGTGGTAGTGTTGTACTGTCCTATGTTTCTGATGGTTGGTGTGGTAGTGTTGTACTGTCAATGTTTCTGATGGTTGATGTGGTAGTGTTGTACTGTCCAATGTTTCTGATGGTTGGTGTGGTAGTGTTGTACTGTCCAATGTTTCTGATGGTTGGTGTGGTAGTGTTGTACTGTCAATGTTTGTGATGGTTGGTGTGGTAGTGTTGTACTGTCCAATGTTTGTGATGGTTGGTGTGGTAGTGTTGTACTGTCAATGTTTGTGATGGTTGGTGTGGTAGTGTTGTACTGTCCAATGTTTGTGATGGTTGGTGCGGTAGTGTTGTACTGTCCAAAGTTTCTGATGGTTGGTGTGGTAGTGTTGTACTGTCCAATGTTTCTGATGGTTGGTGTGGTAGTGTTGTACTGTCCTATGTTTCTGATGGTTGGTGTGGTAGTGTTGTACTGTCAATGTTTCTGATGGTTGATGTGGTAGTGTTGTACTGTCCAATGTTTCTGATGGTTGGTGTGGTAGTGTTGTACTGTCCAATGTTTCTGATGGTTGGTGTGGTAGTGTTGTACTGTCAATGTTTGTGATGGTTGGTGTGGTAGTGTTGTACTGTCCAATGTTTGTGATGGTTGGTGTGGTAGTGTTGTACTGTCAATGTTTGTGATGGTTGGTGTGGTAGTGTTGTACTTTCCTATGTTTCTGATGGTTGATGTGGTAGTGTTGTACTGTCAGTGTTTCTGATGGTTGATGTGGTAGTGTTGTACTGTCCAATGTTTCTGATGGTTGATGTGGTAGTGTTGTACTGTCCAATGTTTGTGATGGTTGGTGTGGTAGTGTTGTACTGTCCAATGTTTCTGAGGGTTGGTGTGGTAGTGTTGTACTGTCCAATGTTTCTGATGGTTGGTGTGGTAGTGTTGTTCTGTCCAATGTTTCTGATGGTTGGTGTGGTAGTGTTGTATTGTCCTATGTTTCTGATGGTTGGTGTGGTAGTGTTGTACTGTCCAATGTTTGTGATGGTTGGTTTGGTAGTGTTGTACTGTCAATGTTTTTGATGGTTGGTTTGGTAGTCTTGTACTGT